ATTGCCATCTTCTGCTTGTGACTCTCTTCATCCAAAGGCACAGGTTTTCCATTATCAGTTACAGACATGTCATGGGTCTTCTTCAGTGACCTGAACACCAGTGTGTGTACAGAATGCTTCTAGACCTCCCCCACCATTGTCGCCGCAGCTCAGCCAGCTCCTCCAGGGGTTCAACCTGAAGACCAGAAAAGCAAAGCAGCCAGGCACCACCACTTACCTCTCCTTCAGTCCGAGTATGGTGGCGATCCTGCCTCCAGGAATCCTCAGATGAGACTGGTTGAGAGCTTTCTCTTCCTGTCTTATATTCCTCTCTAGGGCAGGGATTAAGGGCGTGCACCACGCCCGCCCAGTTTCTATGACCAACTAGTGTGGCTACTTGGATTAAAGGTGTGTGATGCCACTGCCTGGTCTGTGAGGCTGACCAGGGTGTTTGTTCTGCACTCTGATCTTCAGGCAAGCTTGATTTACTAAAACACAAATGAAATACCACTACAATAAGCAGTCTGACAGTGTGCCAGCCTAGATCTAGTGCCCACCAGGGTACCACACGCTCCTCTGCAATCTCATCAATACTGCCTCAGACCAGCATCTGAACCAATTTTACTCACCATAACGGGGAAATCATTGCTTTCCAAGTTCACCTGAACTGGGAGTCAAACGTATATCTATAAATGTCAGAAATCAGAGGCAGAGTTGGCTGCCTTGGATGGACGGTTCATCTAGCTCATCCTTATTACACTTCTTACAGGTCACTCCACAAGACCTTGGGGCCCTGAAGGAACAGATCCTCTCACCCAAGGCTGTGGGCATGGAACTGAGAGCTGCTGGGTTCCAGGCTAGAAAGGGTGTTCCGAAGTTCTAAGGGGAAGTAAAATAACAAACCAAGCATTAGCGAGACTGTGATGTGCATAAAACCAGGCCCTGGACATCCTGGAAAGGACGCAAAGGCCTGGTTTGTATGTGCCCATGCACAGGTGCTTCTCACTGAGTACCTGTTTCTGTCCCCCAACTGCAATGAGTGATGTAATGGGGAATGTAGTGGAACCTGTCCTGGACCTAGCTCTTGTAGACCAGGCTCTCCTTGAACTCACAGAGATCCACCTGCCTCTGTCTCTGTCTTGAGTGCTGGAATGAAAGGAGTATGTTACTACTGCACAGGCCTTTCCCTCATTTTTAAGAAATTATTACTGTGTTTATGTCAATGTACCTATGGGGAGCCGGGCGGTGGTGGCAGTGGCAGGCGGATCTCTGGAAGTTCGAGGCCAGCCTGGTCTACAAGAGCTAGTTCCAGGACAGGCACCAAAGCTACAGAGGAACCCTGTCTGGAAAAACCAAAAAAAAAAAAGGTACCTATGGGGCTCAGAGGGTAATTTCATGGATTTGGCTCTCTCATCTTTACATGGGTCCCAGGGGTCAAACTCAGGTTGGTATGCTGGTGTGGCACACAGTGCCTTTACCCCCACCTCACTGCCCTGTCCCTCTCTTCATCACCTCCTCAGAAACATTCTAAGGAATAAGGAAGGGCTCCCTTGAGCCCTGACTTGTATTACTCTGCCCCTGTATTTTCCATCGACAGCCAGGAAACACAAAGTTTTAAGTACAAAGCAGTCAAGCTAGGCATTGGTTGTATAAGGCCACCACTCGGGAGGCAAAGGCTGGCGTTTTTTTTGTGAGTTTGAGGTCAACCTGGTCTACACATTTCCAGAATAGGCAGATTTATTTTTTAAAAAAATCCTCTTCAGAAAATAAACAAATTAAATAGATCAGGCCAAGCTCGGTTGCAGGCGCCTTTAATTCCCCTATTCAGGGAGCAGAGGCAGGTACTATCTCAATCAGTTCAAGGCCAGCCTACACAGTGAGTTCTAAGATTAAGACCATTTGTTGCTCTTGCAGAAGAGTAGCATTCATCACCCACAAGGTTGCTGCTCACCCTCTGCTGGCCTCTGTAGGTACTGCTTGCACATAAAAATAAATTGAAGGGAAAAAAAAAAGCTTGCAATAATGATAGCTGGACTTAGTGTCAAAATGGCCTCTGTAACTCTGCCTTGCTTTTCCCTTCTCCGCAACACATAGCAGGTGTGTGCACACACCCTCGATTTCAGCTGGGTTGTTATCCGAGGAGTAATGTTGCTGCCAGGGATTGAAGTGCCAAATTTGCCACCCAGAAAGTCCCGATTGTGTGCCTACAAGAGCTGGCCGCATCACTCTTCTTGAAGGCTTCAATTTCCATTGGCGTGACTGGACCTACCAGGATGCCGTGACTCCTGCAAAACGGGACTCAGAAGAGCAGATCTACTTTTCCACCCCACCTGCACAACGTTTGGCCCTATTAGGCTTAGTCCAGCCCTCAGAACACCCTAGCACTACATCTGAGAATTCCAGCAGAGCACGAAGCTGCCTTAGCCCCAGTGTCTCTCCACCTCTCTCTCCAGGCCCTTGATACCTTTCCCCTGTGGGCTCCCACTTTGGTAGATTTATTTGGGGTAGAACTTGGGTTTTGAAAAAGCACTTTTTTTAGTTTTTCAAAACAAGGTTTTTCTGTGTGACTATGGCTGTCCTAGAACTCACTCTGTAGACCAGGCTAGCCTCCAACTCAGAGATCTGCCTGCCTTCCGAGTGTTGGGATTAAAGATGTGTGAAAGAAACACATTTATTTTCACTATTTCCCGAAGCTCGTCAAAGAGTCAAGACTCAATTTACATTGGTCAAGACAAACACATTCAACACAGACTCTAAATCAGCAGCTGCCTTCAAATATTGGACTCATGCCTGTTATATTTTTGTGTAATACTGCAAGATACTATTTAGAGGTGTGGTTTCAATCTTCCTAATGTAATTCCTCATGTTGTTTTAACCCCCAACAGTAAAATCACTTTCATTGTTATTGAAATAACTGATTTTGTTGTTTTGAATCATAATGTAAATGTCTTCCCAATAGTCTTAGGCTACCCCTTTGAAGTCTCCTCCAACCACCTAAATGGGTCTTCACCCACAGGCAGAGAATTGCTTATTTAGTGTATCCTAGCGGTATGCAGCCTTTAAATGGTACCCACCACATAGGGCTAAGCTAAATAATTATTTAAATAAACTAATTTGAAACTAACCTATAGTAGTGATGTTATTACTAAAGGTTTAAAGAATCTTACCATCAAGCCTACCACCCGTCCTCATGCAAGGAGAGAACTGACTCCTGGAAGCTGTACTCTGACCCCATATACACTGATGTACCCCTCTCCCCATGAACATGTGATTTAAGAGGAAGAAAAATGAAATGGTCAAGGGCTGGAGAGTCGGCTCAATAGTAAGACCTCTTTCAGAGGTCCTGAGTCCAATTCCCAGCAACCATATGGTGGCTCACAACCATCTGTAATGATATCTGGTGCCCTCTTCTGGCCTGCATGTCTATCTGCAAGCAGAACACTACATACATAATAAAATCCTAAAAATAAAATTAAAAATTAATGGTCAGGCCTATCTGTTCTTTACTCCCAGAACTCTGAGATGAGTGCAAGATTAAAGCCAACCTAGGCGGCAAGGCAAGACTGCATTTGTGTGTAGGCCAGAAGCATGTCTTAGTCTTCTTGAGGCTGGAATTTTGAGGCAGTTGTGAGCCGTGTGCTGTGTTGAGACAATGCCCCTGAACCTGATGCTTATTTGAGGTTTGCTAACCAGCAATCTACCTGTCTCCCCTTCATTTAGGTAATAAACACACAGCTTTGGTAGTGGCATTTTTATGTGGTTGTTGGGGACTGGACTCAGACCCACGTGCTTGCACTGTGTTCTGCTCACAGTGAGTTCTACACTTGGTCACAAAGGAGTTTACTAACCCTGTAGCCACCAAGGTTACTGAACAAGAGCCAAATAGTAAGATCATCAAATCAGTTGTTCAGGAAATCTTAGCCATCCTGGAGAGTTCTGGGCAGTGCAGAGTGTTCTCTCCGCACAGCCGATACTTTCTTTTGCCTTCACTTCTCTGGTGCTGGGATTACAGGTATATCCCACACCGTTTATGTGGCAGCAGGCTTAGAACAGAGGGGGCTTTTTGCACACCATGCAAACTGTTCAGTTCTGTCAACTCTACAGTAAACCATAGTCACCTGGGAGAGGAAACCCAAACTGAGGATTTTGTGGGATTTAAGGTGGGGAGGCTCATTGACTTAGAGGGGCCCAGTCCACTGCACACAGTAAGTACCATTCCTAGGCAGCAGCTGGTCCTGGGCTGTTTTAAATTCACTTACCCCAAGTTGCTTTCAATCACAAGGTAAAACAGAAAGGAGAAGCAAAGCAGACACCAGGCAAGCACTCTACCAAGAGCTACACCTCCAGCCCTGAGGCAGCTCTTAAACCTAATTTTTTATGAATAGTGGGAGCTATGGAGATAGCTCAGCCAAAGTGCTCTTGTGAGGACATGAATTAGGTTCATGGAGCCTCTATTAAAGAAGAAGTCAGGCCTGAAAGACCATGCTTATAAAACCTGCCCTGGAGCAGCAGATCCTGAGAGCTTGCTAGTCACACCCACATGTCAAGTTCCAGATCAATCAGAGATTCTGCCTCAAAGAGTAAGGGACTGAAGAAATGGCTCAATAGCACTTACTGCTCTTGTAAAAGATACAGGTTCAATTCCCAGCACCCAGCATGGCTCACAGCAATCCGTAACCCAAGTTCCAAGGGATCCAACATAGTGCATATGCAGGAAAAAAATTCATACACATAAATTCTTTAAAACAAACAGAAACAGGCCAGGCGGTAGAGCCAGAAGGCCTTTAATCCCAGCACTCTGGAAACAGAGGCAGGTGGATCTCTGTGGGTTCTAGCTAGTTTCAGGACAGCTAGGATTGTTACACAGAGAAACCCGTCTTGGAAAAACAAAAATAAACAAACAAAAAAAAGAGGAAAAAATCCCAAGGTAAATAGCAACCTTTGGCTTCCATATTCTCACACATGTATGTTCACCTACACATAAAAAAATAAATTCCTCTTAAATGAAGCTCACCAAGTCCTCACATTTTCAAGTTTAATAGATACTACAAAAAGAACAGGCTGATTTCTGCAACAGATTTATCATATAGTCTACCCACAACACAGCTTAGGCCATTCCCAACAGTGGAAGAAAGGCCAACCCCCACCCCCCAGCACTGTAGGAAAGGCATGTCTTGGATGACACCAAGTTTTGTTTTTAAGCATGAATAGAGTACAAGAGATTTTCTTTTGGCTGTCCAATGGAGCCTGTCAGAAAAATGGTCCAGTGCTCACTTCTGCTTAGAGAAATATTCTTTGCTCTTTTGGACATCAGGCTTGATGGTATCACTGCCAGGTTTCCAGCCGGCTGGGCACACTGCAAGAGAAAGGTATGACTAATTATTAACCTGCTCAGTAGTATATATCTCCTATCTCCTTCTCCTTGAACCAAGGGCTATCATATTGATGGCACACACTGGCAGATACGCTGAAGAAACGGAGGCAGGAGGATTATAAATTCAAGGCCAGACTAGACTACAAATTTTCGTGGCACATCCCTTTATTCCAACACTGAAAAAGCAGAGGCAGCAGATGTCTGGAACTTAAGGACCACCTGGTCTACATAGTACATTCCAGACAAGGTAGCCCCCTAGTTGGCATGGGCACAGGAGTTGCCCCCATCCCTCACCAGCTGCCACATGGTTCTCCACAGTACATGGCTTCTGGCAGGGGTGCAGATGGGAAAAAGATACACTTTTCCTTCCATGGGGGAAGGTGATGGGGCAGGCCACTAGGGGTTTGAGCATGCTCCAATGAGTATATGGACAACACAAAATGAACTTGACTGTTTTTTTTTTCCTTTTTTGTTTTTTTTGGGGGGGGAGGAGTTGGACTGGGGTCCATGATGTGATATTTCCAAATAATCAAAAAACCAAACCAAATACAAAGCTAAGAATGACTCATGCAGGGGGCTAGAGAGATGGCTCAGAGGTTAAGAGCACTGATTGCTCTTCCAGAGGTCCTGAGTTCAATTCTCAGCAATCATATGGTGGCTCATAACCATCTGTAATGAGATCTGGTGCCCTCTTTTGGCCTGCAGGCATACATGGAGGCTGAACACTATGTACATAATAAATAAATCTTAAAAAAAAAGAAAAATATATTTCTTTAAGAAAAGAATGACTCATGCCTATTAATTCCAGCACTCAAGTAACTGCCACAGTGGAGGCCAGTCTAGGCCAAATTCCAGGCTAGCCTTGATGAGAGTGAAACTGTCTCAAAATACATTAGAAGCTGGCTGGTGATGGCACATTAATTCCAGAGGCAAGCAGATCTCAGGCCAGCCTGGTCTACAAAGTGAGTTCTAGGAAAGCCAGCACTGTTACACAGAGAATGCCTGACTCAAAACAACAAAAACAAAAAAGCAAACTTAAAATAGCTTGACACCCTCTAGATGTTCATACTGAAGCAGCAGAATAAATTCCATTTTATTTATTCTTTATTTATTTATTTATTTAGGTTTTTCGAGACAGGGTTTCTCTGTAGCTTTGAGTTTATCCTGTAACTAGCTCTTGTAGACCAGGCTGGCCTTGAACTCAGAGATCCCCTGCCTCTACCTCCCGAGTGCTGGGATTAAAGGAGTATGCCACCACCACCAGGCTGAACTCCATTTTAGAGGGGATCCAACTTTGAGGGGGGGGGGGGTTAAATACAGCCCAGCAAAGTCATAAACGTTCCCAAGAAACTGTGCCAGCCCTGGTCAAAGTACGTGACCCCACCAGGGTGTCCAAACAATATCTGTTCACATCTGTTTTCTTCAAATGTCCTTGTAGGTATCTGATTAACTGCTGTTTTGAAATTCCCCTATACCAACCTACAATTCAAAAATTGATACTTTTATCCAATCCTGAAACATCAAGGCTTGATGCTACCCTGCCTTGTGGTTTTCTCCTTTAAAATCTCCTTACCCTGAAGACTTAGGGCCATTCTCCCACACCAGCTCTGTTGGAGGGAAGGATTATTGGTCTAAGTTAGCTAACTTACAATCAAACCCCAGTGTGTTTCCATTGGATACTGGCTCTGGTGGTCTTGTTTGTGGGTCCCGTGACAGAGCATTACCCACTCACATACACACAATTTTAATAAACAATACATCTTTTTTAAAGTCTGGAAAAAAACCTGTCTCAAAAAACAAACAAAAATTTCCCTTTCTGACACAGGGCTCTACCTGTAATTCACTAGGTAGAACAGGCTGGTACCAAACTTACAGAGATCCACTTGTCTCCTGAGTGCAGGTATTAACAGCGAGATCAGCCGGGCGGTGTTGCGCATGCCTTTAATCCCAGCACACTCGGGAGGCAGAGGCAGGTGGATCTCTGTGAGTTCGCGGCCAGCCTGGTCTACAAGAGCTAGTTCCAGGACAGGCACCAAAGCTACAGAGAAACCCTGTCTCAAAAAACCTAAAAAACAGTGAGATTCTCCTCAAATCTGCATCAGTCATTGATTCCAAATTACCAGATCAGAGGTGGAGAATATGAAAATTGAACAAAAAGCCTTTTTCTCCAGGCTTGTCTATTACCCTACCCCCACAGACCACTCTAATCCAGATTTTCATTTCTTGCAAAGACACAATTGCCCTTTTACCTAATAGCCTTTGCACCCGACCATACTGCTATCTCATTAGAAGGCAGATGACTTACCTTCACCATGTTTGTCAGTGAACTGGAAGGCCTGAACTAGTCTCAGAGTCTCGTCCACAGAGCGGCCAACAGGAAGATCATTTACAGTGATCTGTCGAAGGATACCTTTATCATCAATAATAAAGAGGCCCCTGGGTAGAAGAGAGTGAAGGATTGAGAAAGAGGCATTACAAGTCAATTTTTTTTTTTTTTTTTTTTTTTTTGGTTTTTCGAGACAGGGTTTCTCTGTGGTTTTGGAGCCTGTCCTGGAACTAGCTCTTGTAGACCAGGCTGGTCTCAAACTCACAGAGATCCACCCGCCTCTGCCTCCCAAGTGCTGGGATTAAAGGCGTGCGCCACCACCGCCCGGCTTACAAGTCAAATTTTTGCATTGTTGTAAGTCCTAAGAAAATGGGCTGCTCTACAAAGTTACACCAGCCTACTATTAGTGAGACCACACTGAACAATGCAATGAGATAGATACAGCTCAGTCAGCAGTGAATACAGGAAACCCTGGGTTTGATCCCAGGACCACATAAACCAGAAAGAGTAGTGCACAAAAGGAAAGTGGAGACAGCAGATCAGAATTCAAAAAATCATCCTCAGACAACATGTCCAAAATAAAACATGGAGGCTAGACATAGCAGTACAAGCAGTACATACCTATAAATTCTAGTACCCAGGAGGCTGAAAAGAGGATCACTAAAACGAGGCCAACCTGAACTATACAGCAAACTCAAGGCTAACTTGAGATATAGTATAACCAAGTTTCTCAAAAGTAAAAACAAAGAGGCTAGAGAAAGAAGACTCAGTAAAGTGAGGCTCTTCAAAGTACAAGCACCTGAATTTGAACCCCAGAACCCATTAAAAAATAAATTACCAAAAAAATAAAATCTCACCTTTAAAAAAATTCAAGGGGCCAGAGAGATTGCTTAGAAATTAAGAGCATAGGGCTGGAGAGATGGCTCAGTGGTTAAGAGCACTGACTGCTCTTCCAAAGGTCCTGAGTTCAATTCCCAGCAACCACATGGTGGATCACAACCATCTGTAATGAGATCTGCTGCCCTCCTCTGGCATGTGGGCATACATGGAGGCAGAATGTTGTATACATAATAAATAAATAAATCTTAAAAAAAAAAGAAAGAAATTAAGAGCACTGGCTGCCCTCTCCAGTGGACCTGGGTTTGATTCTCAGCCCTGAAATGGTGCCTCATAACCAGTTGGGGTTTTGTTGTTGTTTTGTCTTTTTAGTTTTTTCAAGACAGGGTTTCTCTGTAGCTTTGAAGCTTTTCTTGGAACTCACTTTGTATATCAAGCTGGCCTCAAACTCATGGAGAAGCAGCTGCTTCTGCCTCCTGAGTGATGGGATTAAAGGTGTGCGCCATTGGCCAGCGAAATTGCAACCATTATAAACTCTAGTTCCAGATGATCCAGTGGGCACAGGTGGCACACACAGACACAAATATGCACACATTATTTCCTTTTGGGGGGGGGGTGTTGTTATGGGGGAGGGTTCAAGATAGAATTTCTCTGTATAGCCCTGACTGACCTGCACTCACTTTGGAGAGCAGGTTGGCCTCAAACTCAGAGATCTGCCTGCCTCTGCTTCCCAAAATCTGGGGACTGGAAATATGGCTCAGTGGCCAAACAAGTTTGATTCCAGCATCCATGTCAGGTTATTTACAACTAACTGCCTATAACTCCAGCTCCAGGGGATCTGACACACTCTCCTGTCCTCCTTAGGGTATCCACACGGGTTGGTATACACTTACACACACAAAAATTTAAAAAAAAAAAAAAAATGGAAGTATAACTACTTACAAGATTTTTGTAAATATTAAACAAGATAATGTATAAAAGATAAAAGTTAACATATATCTGGCACGAAGAATTGAATAGGTCTTAGGTATATGACAGAGAAACCCTGTCTCAAAAAACCAAAAAGAAAAAATAAAATAAAATAAAGTACATACCTGAAAGAGATACCTTCATCAGCCTTTAAGACTCCATAATCCTGAGCAATACTGCGCTTGGGATCTGATACCAAAGGAATGTTCATAGGTCCCAATCCTCCTTGTTTCTTGGGTGTATTAACCCTATAGCAAGAGACATTCTTAGAATCCATTCATTCAAACCTTGTGAAAGCAAGAATATTAACTGGACCTATCCCTCCTCTTTCAGATACCTTTCCCCCAAAACTTTTCCAACAGTAAAATGAACGGCTTGACAACACTTAAGAGTGTATATCAGACAACAGCAACTCAAGCTGCTTTGCCTCTGCTGCTAGACAGTAGAAAGGAGTTGGAGCCCAGAAGCCGACACTTAACTCTACTGCCAAACCTCTAAATTTGTTCAAGAAATCCACATGTTGTGGTCTACTCCTGTAATCCCACCTACTCATGAGGCTAAGGCTGGAGATACTACAAACTAAAAGAAAGCCGGCCTGAGTTACGTATTAACCCTGACTCAAAAACAAAAACAGAAAACAAAAAATTCCAAACATGCCAAATGGGACAATAACTTTACCATGCCAGATGACAGAAGTGAGAATCCACAGAAGCTCCAATCACTTGGCAGTTCAGTTTCTTAAATTCTTCTGCCCTATCACTGAAAGCAATAATCTCAGTGGGGCACACAAAAGTAAAATCCAGAGGGTAAAAGAAGAATACGACATATTTTCCTGGGGAGGAAAAAAAAGTAATCAAGAGGTTAGCTTTGAAACTGAGTTTTTTTCTCTCTCTCTGTCTCTCTCTCTCACAGGGTTTCTCTGTGTAGCTTTGGAGCCTGTCATGGAACTTGCTTGTCTTGAACTCACAGGGATTCATTTTTCCTCCAGATTGCTGGGGATAAAGGCATGTGACATCACCACCAGGCAATTGTTTTATTTTTGACATAGGGTCTCCTTCTGTAGTCCGGCTTATCTTGAAACTTATTAAAGCAGGATTACAGGCAGAGGTAGCTACCACACCCAATGTGTATGTGTGTGTGTGTGTTTTGGGGTACGTGGTTGTTTTTGAGACTGACTTACTATGTATCCTGGAGCTGACCTGACACTCCCCCCCCCCCAAAAAAAAAAACACCATCTCAAAAAGCAAAATCAAAACAACAACAAAAGTTGGGGGTGAAAATTGAAGGACAGGAGAATCAGGAGTTTGCAGTCATCTAGCAGTTAAGAGCTGGCTGCTCTTCAAGAGGTCCCAGACTTAATTCCTAGCGCACAAATGCCTGTAATATCATTACCAGGGGATCCAAGACACTCATCTGGCCTCTTCTAGCACCAGACATACATGTATGATATAAACATATATGCAGATAAAACACCCACACACATAATTAAATTTAATAAAAAAAAGATAAGGAAAGGCAAGCCAACAACACAGACACAAAGTAAAGTCAGAGCCTTTATGCAATAATGGAAGGATAGGGGCTGGAGAGATGGCTCAGCGGTTAGGAGCATTGCCTGCTCTTCTTCCAAAGGTCCTGAGTTCAATTCCCAGCAACCACATGATGGCTCACAACCATCTGTAATGAGGTCTGGTGCCCTCTTCTGGCCTGCAGGCATACATGTAGAAAGAATATTGTATACATAATAAATAAATAAATTTAAAAAAAAAATAAAATAATGGAAGGATAATTAAGCAATACCATGGGTAATTTTCTCCCTTTCCATCCTGTTATGGGCAAGGTTTCTTGTTTCTGCTGTGGTACTATAGACTAGTTAGCTCCATCTATCTTGAATAGGACTAGTGGGATTATAGAATCCAATCAATGAATCCTTCTTTTTTAATTGGTTTTTGGAGACAAGGTTTCTCTGTGTAACAGCCCTGGCTATCCTGGAACTAGCTCTGCAGACCAGGCTGACCTTGAACACAGAGAGATCTGCTGCCTCTGCCTTTAGAATGCTGGGATTAAAGACGTGCACCACCACTCAGCAAACCCCATTTTTTATGTAGGCTCCATGAATTAAAATAAATTTGAGTCCTCAGGTTTGTACAGCAAGCACTTTTACCTGGTGAATATGTTCCCAGCCTTCATGGGTAATGTTTAAGTAATTTCATGAATTAAAACAAATGTGTTCCTAACAAGCCCAAGAGGACATGACTAGAAAAATTTTACCACCAAAAGTACCCACAGTACTGGTAGGTAACAGGATTTCTAGCTCCAATTCTACTTTAGTAACTCAGATTCTCACTAAAGTAAATCTTCTAATGGGCCAGAAGCCTCTCATCATTCCTAATGGCTGAACAACTGGAACATTTCCACATATCCTCGTTATTTTCTGGTAGCAACTATGTCTGAAAGTCAAAACAAGCAGTTCCTGACTCATCTAAGCAATCTCTCTGTGGCTTTGCTTAACAAGCACTTTGAAGCCTCAGTAGACCAAGCCCTACAGGGCAGAGAGCAACTACTCCCTAGACCATGTGCCAGGTCACCTCCCTAGAGGTGCGTTTTAGACTGTTTGCTGTAAATCTTTTTCATAGGGCCCACAGTAACTGTTCACATATCAACAACAAAGAAAGATAGCAGTAGATTTAACTGGATATTTTACCCAAAAGCTATCTCCAGAAACTCATAGACCATTAAGAAGGTACATTTAACACCAGTTTGAAGCTTACACCTAAGAAATCAAATGCTCTCAAGACCTAGCTACTGAGATTGCAAGCAGGAGAGGAAGAATGGGGACTAGAAAGCTCAGCAGTTTTCGGTATTCATGCTGTTCTTGCAAATGACTCTGGTTGGGACCCAAGCAGCGACACGGCAACTCACAACCATCTGTAACTACAGTTCTAGGAGTTCCAAAACCTATGCACGTAAGCAAAGTACATACAGGCAAAACATTCACGCACATAAAAATATATACACCTTTAAAAAATAATTAAAGTGGTCAATTTATGCTTTACTTTTTTAATTTTTTGAGACGGGGTCTCACTATGCATTTTTGGCTGGCCTGAAATCCAGAGACCCACTTGATGCACCACTACACCCAGCTAGGAGGTCAATTTTTTGAAAAGGGAGAGAAGGTAGAACATTAGCAGAACCTGCTGTATGAAAGTATGAAAGTTTGGCAAAGAACCTGCTGTATGTTGTATGAAAGTATGGCAAAACAAAATTAAATTGCAGTTATCAACTTTTTTCTATGAGCAGAAGCAAAGCCACAGCTCCAAAGACTTGAATTTAAGACTAAATATACTCAAGTTTTCTTAAAACAAGAGATAAGTGGGACTATAATGTGAGTTCAAGGCTAGCCTGTTCATAAGAGCTAGTTCCAGGACAGGTTCCAAAGCCACAGAGAAACGGAAGGGGGGGGGGGGAGAAGCACTACTTAGCTGTTATCACATGACTGTTCTTCCAGAGACTCTAGTACAGACGTGGGGGCTCACACACATCCAGCCCCAGGGGATCCAACACCTTCCTATTTGTAAGCACATGGTGCATAGAAAAACTATTCACCCATACACATAGAAATAAAACACATCCTAAATGTTTTCCAATTTAAAAGAAGAGGAAGGGGAGAAGGCCAAGACCAAGCATTGATGCCAGACACTTTTAATGGACGCAGAGGCTGGCAGATCTCTAGAATTTTGATACCACCCTGGTCTACATATCAAGGTCCAGGCCAGCCAGGGAATAGCGAGACCCTGTCTCAAACAAGCAAACAAAAAGAATCAAAGGAGGGCTGGAGAGATGGCTCAGTGGTTAAGAGCATTGCCTGCTCTTCCAAAGGTCCTGAGTTCAATTCCCAGCAACCACATGGTGGCTCACAACCATCTGTAATGGGGTCTGGTGCCCTCTTCTGGCCTGCAGACATACACACAGACAGGATATTGTATGCATATTAAATAATAAAAATAATAAAAAATATAAATATTAAAAAAAAAAAAAGAATCAAAGGAGGGCACAGTGGTGCTTGCCTTCTATCCTAGTAGAAAGGAGACAGAAACAGGAGGATCCCTGTGAGTTCAAGGCCAGCCTGATCTACGTAGTGAGTTCCAGGACAGAGAGCTACATATAGATTCTATCTCAAAAGAAAAAAAATCTTTCCGATAATAGAAGTACCACTTAAAAGATAATCAAGCAAATATTAAGAGGCTTACGCCTAGGAGAACTACCTAGTAAATCACTGTCCCAGCCATGACTTCACTTCAGCATGGAGACACGTGAATCGGCCTCTTACCAAAAGTAATCAATTCTTACCTTTGTAATCACTTAGGCTGATATCTTTGAATTGGCCATCTGGCATAACAGCTGTGGCTTTGAAGTTGGGGGCAGGATGCCCAATTTTTGCATTTCCTGAAGACATCTTGCTATCAGCTGAAAAAGGCAACAACAACAAAAAAATTGAAATAAGTTTGGTTTTTCTAAATAACCAACAGCTTTCATCACCTAGGCACTTAACTGTAGTTCATCCAAGGGACTGTCCCATGGCCTTGAATATATTGTTTTATGTTTGTCACAACCCAAAAGCTCCAACTCCAGGGTAAAACAAGACTGAATGTTAGCCTTTGTTTTCCATTACAAAAAGCTCCACAGTGTCTAAATAAGTCAGTTCTAACACCCTTTCTGAACCAGTTTTTGCATATGCATTAGGAAGAAGCAAGAAAGAATGGGAACAGACACAAGAAGAATCCAAGCAACACAATGCCAGGACATTGGTATTTATTTCAAAACATTAGGTGTTGTGTTTATTAAGCAGTTCTTTCTGCATAACTTATTTGAGGCCAACCTAGGTTAATTGAGACCTGATCTTAAGTTGTTTTTTTTTAGGTTTCTACCAGGGACAGTGGGAATAATTCCAGCACTCTGGATGCTGAGGCAGGAGGATACTGAGAAAAGACTAATAAAAATTTGCCTCAAAAAGTTTCTAGATCAGTGAGGCTATGTTAAGGCACTTGCTACCTCATGACCTTAGTTTAATACCCTCAATCTGCATAAAATGGAACAAGAACATACTTCTACAGGTTGTCTTAACACCAGAGCCCACACACATACATGTTTCGGGATAGTAAGTGTAATTCCCAACACTTGGGTAGTAAAACCTGAAGGATCAGAGAGTTCAAGGCTAGCCACATTAGAGGACAGACCTATAAAGAAAACCCTATCTTTAAAAAAAAATCCAAGTATTGTTAGAAAATTATTTCTGCTATGTACCCAGATCAATACCAAGATAGATTCTTAAGACTTACACCGTTAGGCGATTTGGAGAGATGGCTCAACGGTTAAGAGCCTGCACTGCTCTTTGCAGAGAACCCTGATTCGGTTTCCAGCACCCACGTCGGGTGGTGGACAGCCACCTGTAACTAGCTACAGAGAGGGTCTCACACATCTACCTTCAAGCACCTGCGCTCACACGCACGTACCCAAAGACGGCCACACATAATGAAAACAGCAATCTAAAACAAAACTTAAAACACTCAAGTCTGAATGCTGCAAGTTCCAAACTTCTTGGTTCATAACCCCAATAACCAAAATAAAGGCTAGGAGCGTCGTCCATCGCAAACTTTTAAACAAAACTTTTTTTCTTATCAAAGTTCTTTTCAAGGGCATGCAGCAACTAGTGCGCTACATCATCTTATCAAACTTGCTTTGCAAGATGGCCTGGCACTCCAAAGACCAACCAATCCCAGAAAATTGAATTCTGGCCGCTGCGAAGCCTCCGTAGAGGAATCGGCCCAGAACGCCCGAGACGGTCACGCCCCAACCTCACCTGAGGTTCCTGCCACTCACGCCATCTCACCCACCCCAGAACTTCAGGAAACAGCGCGGCACAAGCGGAGCGCGCGAAGGGAGCTTAGTCGAGAAGACTCCAGCACTACCCGTCCCACCGCGTCAATCTACGCTATCAGAAAGCCCGGAGAGGCGGAAAAATCAACGTTAGCCTCAGGTTCCAACAGGTCCGGGAACTAAGGGCCACGTGAAGAATGCGAGCAGCGTCCGAGCACTCGTGGCACCAGGCCTCACCCGGCTGCCTCAGCCCGTGACCGCCTCTGCAGAGCCCTGACCGGCCTGGGGCAGAAAGAACCGGTGCTGTGAGGCGCAAGCCTCGTTTCGCGGCCGCGATACCCGTACACTCACCAGGGCCGAGTCACCGGTCTCAGAGAAAGAAACAGCTACGCAAAGGAAGGAAGACGACGCCCGAGACGCGCGCGGGGCGCAGCTTTTATAGCCCACAAAGTTATCGCGAGATTCGGAGCGGGCCGGGGGGTGCGGGAGGAGGGGGGGGGATCTGGCTGAGCCCCGCCCCGCCCTGGCCGCCCTGGCGGAATGACTCAGCGCTTTCCCTGGAAGTTGGGGGGGGTCTCAATTCGAGCTTTTCGCGGCAGCTGTTCATAGAGGTGGGAAAGGACTTCCCTTTGAGGCATCGCTTTTTATCGAGGGTATCTGAGAAACCTCGCCGCTCTTTATTCCCAGGGCCCCTATGTTTTGTGCATAAGGGTCTCCCAATCTGCTCACGGAAGCCCACATCTAATCACACCGTATTCGGGGAACGGTGCACCACAGTAGTTCCCAATTGCTTCCCGGTCTCGAAAACCCTGATCTCGGACTGGAGAGATGGCTCAGCAGTTAAGAGCACTGGCTGCTCTTCCAGAGGACCGGCGTTCAATTTCCCAGCACCCACATGGCAGCTCACAACTGTCAGTTAAGTCCAGTTCCAGTGGATCCAACATCTTCACACAAACACGCAATACACAGGAAATAAAAAGAAATAAATCATTAAAAAAAAAAAAAACCTTGTCTGGTTCTCAGTGACCCACACCACCTAAGGAGGCAGACTACTCTATTGGTCTCTGATGACTTCACTGCTGCTCTGTCTTGCATACCCTTTTTTCCACCCTCTTAAATCTTTCTAAATCTGATCTTGTCACTAATCTGATTTGTGGTTTTAAAAATTGGGGCTCTGTGGTCAATTTCCTGAGTTAAAAGTCACTGTTCCAGTGATTGTTCCTCTGGGGAGCCAGAGGCAGGTGGATCTCTGGGATCCAGATCAGTCTAGTCTACAGAGAGAATTCCAGGACAGCTAGAAACCCTATCTCAAAAAAAAAAAAAAAAAATTAAAAAGTAACTTCCTTGTATGTGATCTTTCATAGGAAATGTAATCCCATTAAGCCTTGTCTTTTCTTGCCTATAAAATGGAATAATTCTAATATATTTTTGGAGGGGGGCAGTTCAAGGCAGGGTTTCCCTCTGTAGCCCTGGCTGTCCTAGAACTTACACTGTAATCAAGGCTGGCCTCGAACTCCGAGATCTATTCACCTGCCTCTGCATCCTGAGTGCTGGGATTAAAAGTGTGTGCCACTATGTCCGGTTAATTCTAGTATCTTAGTGGAAATAATTAATGTTCATTAGAACAATACCTAAGTTTGCTATGGTGGTAGGTTTTGGTTTTTGAGACAAGTATCTCCTTTAGTAGTCCAGGCTGGACTCATAATCCTCCTGCCTCCACCTCCTGAGTGCTAGCATCATTGGGAAACCTGGCTGGTATTACTTAATTCTTACTATTACTAGTTTCTAGAGATGTTAACTGTTACTTCTACTGAACCTTCTCCATCTTCCTTGCTGAAAACCCAGAACCACCTGGTCTGTTTGTGCACACCAGGAAACTAATTCCCCTTCACGACAGATAAGCATTACTTCCTGTAAAGCTGCCCCTGACTCTGGCAATCCCTCTAACAGTGTTACTAACTCTCATTTGCCCCTTGAACTGACCATTGTACCTAAACAATAACCTGGACAGCCACGAAAAAAATACAGCCCTTCAGTTTTGTTTGCACATTTGCCTCCCCTGCTAGCATGACTTTCTAGAGCAGTGGTTCTCAACCTTCCTAGCTGCCACACTTTCCTGCAGTTCCTCATGCTGTGCTGACCCCAGCCATAAAGCGATCTTCATTGTGACTTCACCTCTGTAAGTTTGCTACTGTTATGACTCATAATGTAAATATATGTATTCTCTGACGGTCTTAGGGGACCCCTGTGAAAAGGGTCCTTTAACTCAACAGGTCTCGACCCACAGGTTGAGAACCCCTGTTCCAGAGGGTGGAATTTGTGTCTCTAAAATGTGATATAAAATGGGAACTCTGAGCTCTTAATAAATAGTATTGGGGCATTGGGTCCCTCTTCTACTCTTTCTTTTTCTTTTCTTTTTTTTTTTTTTTTTTATTTGAGACAAGGTCTCTCATTGTTGTCCTTGCTATCCTAGAACTTTCTTTGTAGACTATGCTGGCCTCAAATCCACAAAGATTCTCCTGCCCTGCCCCTGCCCTGCCCCTGCCCCCCACCGCTGGCATTAAAGGCATGCACCCCTATACCTGGCCCCTCTCTTGACTCTTATTACTAACATAATAGGGCAAGAAGTAAGAGAAATGCTATGTCATGCTAGCTGAATATTTCCACTTTGGGGTATTTATCATCCCTTACAACAGCAGTGATTTTCTTTTTCCTTCTCAGCATGAGGTTGACCAGCTATTTCGCATTATCCATTTCCAGTTAGTGGAGGCGGTAACCCCCGTTAGTTCCCAGGGCCCTGGGACCAGTGTAGAAATGGGGAAGTGCTGTGTCATGCTGCCTGAGCTTCTGGCTTAGACATTTTTTTTTTTTTGACATTTTTCATTTGTCTTAACAATAGTTTTAGTTGCTTTTTAGTGTGTCGTGTGTGTGTGTGTGTGTGTGTTTGCAGGTAGGTACATGTACTGGTGGTACACTCCAACAGAGACGGTGGAAGAGGTTGGGTGTTATGTCTTTATAAAAAAAAAAAAAGCACAGAACCTGAAGCAGAGCTGGTGGAGATGCTCTGGTCTCTGCCCACACAGCACTGGCTTATAGACATACCCATGCAGCTCTCTCAGGCTCCTCCCTTGGCCCTCACCAGTGGTGCTGGAATCCAGACTCATCTTCATGTTAATACAGCAAGCACCTTTACCCGTTGGAACGTCTCTCCTGACCCTGGCTACCTTGTTTTCCCTTCTCACCCTGAAGAGGAGCAGTTGCCACTGCCCATTTTTCTCTTATGAGAGAGAGCAGAGTGAGCCAGCAGACTGTCTTTAGGCTTCAGTGTTCTCCCTCCGCCTTGTGGTTCCTAGGCATGGAAGTCAGGTCATCAGGCTTGACGTCGGTTCCTTTACCTGCTGAATATCTACTAACCATTGCTTTTGAAACTGAGTCTCACTGTAGAGCCTAGACTGACTGGAACTCAGGCAGTTCCCCTGACTCAGCCTCCAAAGTGGTAAGATTACTGCTGAGTTATCATGACAGGCTTCACACTTCTTCTAGTTTAATATTTTGATGCTACAGATCGGATCTTGGATCTTCCCTGAGCTAGGCAGAAGCTATAGAACAAGCTCCACCCACAGCCCATACTTCAGTTCCAGAGGCCTTGACAGTCTCTGGTCTGTCACACAAGGGCACTAGGCTTGTGTGTGCAAGGAAAACACTCATACACATAAAATAATTTTAAAAAAAAATATTAAAAAAGAAAGAAAGAAAGAAAAATCACCATCTGGGTCAGTGGATAAATGCACTTGCTGCCAAGCCTATAGCTTCAGTCTAAGTCCCAGAACCCGGAGGTAGATGGACAGAACTCGCTCCCTTAAGCTATCCTCTGATCTCCACATGCATGCCATAGCAGGCAGGCAGGCAAACACGACTGAGGCCCTGTCTAAAAACAAACATTTTTTAAAAAGAAGCTAAAATAAAATCCTAAATTAAAGAACATCTAGATAAGTAAAGATGTATCGTGTTCATGAATGGAAAGAATTAATGTGGGGGCTGGCAAGTTGACTCAGTAGTTAAGAGCACTTACTGTTCTTGCACAGGACCTGAGTTCTATTCCCAGCTCCAGGGCATGCAATGCCTCTGACCTCCACAGGCGCATATACACATGCACACATTGATACACATAATTAAAATTAATAATGACTAAAAAGTGTTTTTCCTTAGCCCAATTTAAGTAAATATGGCCTTTTTGCAATTGACTGTTTTTGTCTTGTTTTGTTTTGTTTTTTCTTTTTGGAAACAAGGTTTCTCTGTGTAGACCTGGATGCCCTGGAACTCGCTCTGTAGACCAGGCTAACCTCAAACTCAGATATCCTTCTGCCTCTGCCTTCTCAGTGTTGGGACTAAAGGTGTGCAACACCATAGCTCGGCCAGCTTTTTTCGGAAAACTTTTTAAAAGATTTATTTAGTTTTATTTAACTGTACACGCGAGTATTGCTTACATATATGTATGTGTGCCACGAAAATGCTAGGTGCTCGAGGAGGCCAGAAGTTTTGAGTCTACAGGAAGTGGAGTTATAGACAGTTAGTTGTGAGCCATCTTGTGGTTACTTGGAACTGAATTCAGGTCCTCTGGAAGAATGAGTGCCCTTAACTACTGAACCATCTTTCCAGCCCCTGAATATGGCTTCTTTAAAAACAAAACAAAACAAAACCACATGGTGGGTGTGGTGGCGCATGCCTTTAATCCCAGCACTTAGGAGTCAGAGGCAGGTGAATCTCTGTGAATTGAGGCCAGGCTGGTCTACAAAGCTAGTACCAGGACAGCCAAGGCTGTTACACAGAGAAAACCTATTTCAAAAAACCAAAATAAATAAAATAAAACATAAAAACAAACCCACAAAATTCAGGGTAGAAATACAAGTGGAAACATACAAGTTAAGCTTCCTGGAAGCAAGGCTCTATATGGAGATGGTCCTGACTTCTGGAGTAGGGCTCCTTGGAATTGCATGTGCCTGTCTTGACTACACCCTTGGATGGTGACTCAATTCTACCATTTTTTTCCTCCATAAAGAAGCATAGAATCTTTGATCATAGTGTTCTTTGTCAGTAGTTGCCTTGGGCCTAATTTGTTATGAGAGACAGTTATCTGACTCATGAAAAGTCATTGTTCCTTCATCATAGTTAACTAAGTATAACAGGCAAGGCAGCTCCATTAATGTTCGACAAATCAGTATAAAGCAAAAGTCAAATCAACAAACATCTTTTATATTAAGCTTTGCTAACCTAATGACAACCTACCCCAAACATATAAAATATTAAAATTAAGCTTATAGGCTATTAAAGTTAAATGCCTTATTTAATTGCAACAACACATACAAAAGAAAAGCATGGAAACCAGACCACATGATTTCCAAATCATGGAAACCAGATCTCTGTTATGAGGTCATTATGGTGATTCAGAATACGTTTATGTTAAAGCTGGGCATGCAGCACATCC